AGGTGATGATTTCTAGTTTATTGGATATCTTAGTTAGCTGAAAATTTATTTATATATTCCCATATCTCTTTTCAAGAACATTTACTTATGTAACTTTGTGATTAACTTATTCAGATCCAATTGAGAATAGTGAATAAGTAGCATAAAACCAAGGCAAAGGAATATCTTCTGGTAAAGTTCCTAAAGGGGAGAAAAGAAACAATTTCAGGTAGCACAGACATGAATGTACATATGTATTGATGAGTTGATGATGTATAGTTACTTGTTTTGGATTTTTAATCAGGCTCTTGGTTGTAAATAACAGATACCCAACTTGTACTAGTTGGTATACTTGTACAAAATAAAAAGGAATGTTCTGACACATGAAATAAGAAAAGAGATAGAATAAATATGCCACAGAATAACAGAAATGCAGCTGTTTTCAGCAACAACTTAAATTAGGCATTCAGGCCCTGCCTAACCTTTTTGGTGATATCTTGGAACCTCTGTGTGCTTTGCAGTACTCTGTTGTAGCTCACCACACACTGGCTTCTTCCACAATCTCCAGCTTATAGAGGGTGATGGCTTCTTTTTCATAGTTGGAAAATTCCAAGAAAAGACTGATGGTGGGGACACCAGTCTCTGAAGTGGTCAAATGTTGATAGGGCTTGGTAATACTTGAAGATGGTGATTCCCAAAAGACTGAGGTTTCAGTGAGGGGAGGGTGAATTATTTCCAAGAGTCTACTCTCCCTCAAGTTCATTTTATCTTTATCCTGTTCCACTTTACCATCATGTCCTAGGCTTTAGCTGCCCAGACCATTAAAGCCAGAGCGTCCTGACTTCATATCAGCAGGTCAGGTTTTGCTTTGAATTCTGACCTTTACAAATTGGATTACTAGTGGGACAAAGAAATGATTCTCTTGTTCATTTTGGTAGCCTCTTGCAAACTAGGTATTTATGTAATAAAAGAATTCTCCCCATTAAGTAGAAAGGTAAGAAGGGAGAGAAGCTAGAACTCCTGATCTACCATAGTCACAGGAACTGACTAGCAGGATTTTACAGTCACCATCTGTAGGACTAGTTCTAGCTGCTAGTTTCTCCTAGGCAACATCCTTTACGAGCCAGCTGCCCTTCGGATAACCTTTGTCAGAGACGGCTTATTGGTGGACAGCAACCTGTGCCTCAGGTGTGTACGTAGAGCAGGGTGCCAGGAACAAGAATGGGCAGGAAGAAAGTGATGGGGATTTACAAAATTTCCCGCTCATTACAGATTCCACCATCACCTCTTCTTTTGTTTTAATTTTTAATTTATTGAATTGCAAGTTGTTTTTGGAGAGCTATGTTCTACTCGTGTTTCAACAAGTAACATCTTAAATGGGTAGACTTAGAAGAGTAAGTATAGGAAAATTGCCCCTACGCGTGCGCTAATAACCTTCCTGTTTTTCTCAGCATACTTCACAAGCCAACAAGACCACTTCGCTCCTTCTTCAGGACCCCCCTGCCCCCCATTAAAAACCAAGGCAAGATGTATTTTCCTATTGATAGTGAAACTTACTTAATATCAGTCATGTAAGGAAGCATGTATATTTATGACAAAATTGTGTCAGAACTGTAGAGACTGTCCTATCATGTACCTGTTCATGTATTATACAAACTCATAAATGTTTAGTGTATGATTAAAAATCAATAAACATGGTGCATGTATTAGCATCTTGAGCCAGCACACATGTATTCTTTCTTTCACACTCTAGGGGCCAGAGATCCAAAATCAAAGTGCTGGCAAGGCCATGCTCCCTCCCAGGGCCTTAGGGGAGAATCTTTCTTTGGTGTTTCCAGTTCTTAGTGGTTTCTGGCTTTCTTTTGCTATTGGCAGCTGGGTTCCAATCTCTGCCTCTGTCTTCATAGGTCTGTCTTTGCTGTGTTTATCTGAGCCTGAATCTGTCTCTTTTACAAAGTATACTTGACATGGAATTTAAGGACCCACCCTACGCCTCTTCATAACTAATTACATCTGCAAGACCCTATTTAAAATCAGGAACCACATGCTGAGGTTCCAGGGGGTCATGAATTTTGGAGGGACACTTCAACCCAACACCAGGGAATTAAGGAAAAATATGTTTCTGTCAGTGTTTCTATTTAAGTAGTTGGTATTTGAAAGTTGCAAAATCATGGGGACTCTTTAGTGTGCCAATGCTCAGTAGCTTTCTTGAGAAGTCCTTTTGACTGAATCTGTTTTCATAGTGGCTGCTGGTGAAAGGAGACCAGTAGGCAAGCAAAGTTTTGTCAAGGAGCCCCTATACCTTCAATGGCAGGAAGAAATAACACAGGTTTCCTCTAAGGTTCCTCTATCCCCTGTTCTGAAATAGTTATTTGCTCTGGGTCTAAGGAATCTTATAAAAACTTAGAAGTTTTTTTCTGATTCCAATCTTATTTTATCCTGAATAAGATGACACCAAATACAGTTTATATATTTCATTACTTTTTATAAAAAATGTACTTTTTATCCTTTTTACTGACTGTATAAAAGGGGTTGATGACATTTAAGACTTCTCAACTATATTGGATCCTTTGCATTAAATTTCTACCTCTACCTCTGCCCCTCATCACCTTTAGAAGGACTAGAGACTTTTCCTTCTAATGGAAATAAGTTATCTACTGAGAGCCCATTGGCATAAATTCTTGAAGGATGGTTCGGAGCCATTCCCTGGAACCTGTATCCTGCACTGAGCAGGATATGAAAATCTATAGTCAGGGGATAGGATGCAAAGGGAAGATCGGTGTGTGGGGCCAAAACCATGGCTTTTGAGGTTTGAGGGGAGTCGTGAAAATATCTTCAGCCCCAAGTGGAGGCTCCAAGGAAGCAGATTACTAGATGGAGCCACAGTTGTGAGCATCTGGGCGAGCTGTGAGGGACTAGTGAGTCAGCATTTCCAGGGAACTCAGTGAGTGAGAAGTTACCAGAGAAAAGCGGGGAAGGGTCCAAAAGAGCTTTAGAGGGAGCATGGACCTGGAAAGTGGTCAGTAGAGGGGTCCAGTGGTGGGGCTTTCCTCGTATTCCCTCTTTTGGTTCATATGACACTTTATTTTAGCTCTTACCATTTCTACCTCTGTGCAGTTTCTTTATTTTCTGTCTTTCTCTACTTTACCTTTTATACATATTTAATTTGTTTTCAAGTTTTTCTCCTTTTCCCTGCTGTATAGTTTCCTTCTCTCTCTTTTTTTTTTTAATCAAAGAGCAAGAATAACTAATCTAAAAGTACAAGTTGGATAAGGGAAATCCATGTGTATTAATATTTAATGGTGACTGCTTCCATTGATATGTATTCTTCAAAGTATTTCAACAAGCAAGGGTTTCCAACATATGTGCCTGCATTTGAGCAGTTAGGGTTAAAAGCATGAGGGTTGATGGATTTTAAGATAAACTCTTGAAATTTTAGGGATACCCTTCTTTGTTTCATGAATGGAGACCTCAAAGAAGCCTCTGCCTGGTAGTTCCACCAGCAGCCCACCCAGGCTAAGAATGGGACTCATTTCCTTTGGATATAAGGCTCTCTGGGATGTTAGCATGCGCCCAGCTTTCTGAGTTGACTCTTAGGTTTTGGTCTGGCATTATGAAGGGCACTGCCAGAGGGAGGAGTGTCCTCTCATAGACTGTGATTTCAGTGTCAGACCATGCTATTCTGCATCATGTTTCTAGCTTCCCTCTCCTAATTTGAGTGAGAGAAAGACATCACTATGATAGTCTTTTTCTCTCCAAGTTTCTTTCTTTTTCTTTTTTTGAAATATTTATTTTTTATGCTTACAGAACTGGGGTACAAGCCACAGGTGTGGGAGCTGTGAGAGGATTCACCAGAGGCAGAGTGGGGGGATGGTTAGAACAGGCAAATTGAGTAAAATATACTGCTGAGGCCCCTCCCCTGGTGGCCCAGTGGGTTAAAGCACAGCACTAAGAAGCTAAAGCCACTTCAGCAGGAGTTCGATCCTCGCCCCGGAGGTGACCCACATGGCGCGGCAGACCTCTCCTGACCCGCACACTGCTCCCCTCAGCAGTGTACTGTCTGTTCTGCTCCCCATTCTGTTTCTGGTGAATCCTCTCACCCCCCTGCATCTCTGGCCTGTACCCCAGTTCTGTATGTGTAAATAAATAAATACATCTTTAAAAAAATAGAAATACACTGCTGAGAGGGGCAGTAGGTGGGCCAGGAGCAGTCTGCTGTACTGTGTGGGTCACCTCCCTGGCTGAGGATAGAACCCATGCCTTGAGGCAGCTGCTGATATGTTTGTAGTGCTGCACTTTAACCCATTACGCCACCAGGGAGGGCCCTCTCTCCAAATTTTTATTAGCAACATTCTTATATGAATTTTAATTACTAAATCAAAAATATCTGTTATGGAGTCTATTTTGTGCCCACTTCTATGCTTAGCACCATACTTGTGACATACATTATTTGTACTATGTACATGTGTACACACATGTCTCAGTCATTTAGATGAGCAAGACATTGTCTAGCACCTCTAGTATGGATGGGTAAAGATCCCATTTTGAGGTCAAGGAGAAGGAAACTGAAGCAGTTTGTGGTTATAAATCTTGATTTTTTTTTTTTCTCTGTGTAAAAACTTGGAAGGAGAGCCAGGGCAAGGGTAAGTCTGGAAGCGTGCAAGCACGTTTTGACACAGCTGCTATACTGGATAATGGGGGATGCAGAGGTGATGTCGAACAAACAAGTTAGTAAAGGTTTCTGATAGTGGAGAAAGTGGTTCTCTCCTCGTTGTGCTGCCATTGTTTTCATCATTATCATTGCCATCAGTTCCAAAACAAATTATATTTCAATCATAAAACCTCTGCATAATTAATGAGACTCTTCTTTTGAAATACTGATAGTTGTCTACGGCCATACCGCCCTCAACACGCCCGATCTCGTCTGAAATGCTGACAGTCATTCGTGCTAGTTGGCACTTAGTGCAGGGTGTGACAGGTGTTCTGTTATCACACTTTCCCTCTCTTTTGTGTGTGCTTAGGTTGAGCCAGTGATACAGAGCGGCCACGAGAGTCTTGTCCATCACATCCTCCTCTACCAGTGCAGCAGCAGCTTTAACGACAGCGTCCTAGACTATGGTCACGAGTGCTATCATCCTAACATGCCTGATGCCTTCCTCACCTGCGAGACCGTTATTTTTGCCTGGGCCATCGGTGGAGAGGTGTGCCTACTGACTACTGAGATTACTACTGCCACCATTGATTGGGCATGCGTTCTCCCTAGGATTCTTACACATGAAAATGATATTATAAAGCTCTATGTGCTATTTTTAATATGAGCATGGCTTAGGCTTTCTATAAAAGTAATACTCTCTTTAGTCCACCTGATTCTATCAGTTTTAGATTAATGAATTCCAAATATCTTTGAGTGTGTTTGGTTTTGAGTGAAGTTAGCGCTCTAGGGACTTTCACAGGCCATCATTTAATGGAGTTTTCTTTATTTAGGGTTTTTCCTATCCTCCTCATGTTGGATTATCTCTTGGCACTCCATTAGATCCTCATTACGTGCTTCTGGAAGTCCATTATGACAATCCAACCAATATGGAAGGTGAGTTTATTTTATAGTCAATTTGTGATTTCACAGCAAGGAGAGAGTCTTATCCATCCTTTATTTCCACAAGGACTAGTGCAGTATTATTCACATAATAGATGCTTAGTAATTGTTTAGTTTTGAATGATTCATTGATTAAAAGGGTGGTGACTCTAAAAATGATTTAACATTTAGGATTCTCCATCAGCAAGTGATTTCTAGACCAAGAACTTGTCCTTTTTTTAAAAAAAAAATTTATTTACTTATGCATACAAGAATTGGGGTGTAGGCCAGAAGTACATGGGTAAGAGGAGTCATCAGAGACAGAGTGGGGAGCTGAACAAGTGGATTTACTGAAATACACTGCTCAGGGGAGCAGCAGGAGAGACAGGAGATGTCTGCTGCCTCATGTGTGTGTTAACTCCCTGGCCAGGGATCAAACTCAGGCTGCAGTGGTAATAGCATCATAGCTGAGACTTAACTGCTATACCAAGGAAGCCCACCAAGGAGTTTATTTTTAACTTCTGTATAAATGTTACTAGACTTCACCTGAAAGCAATATAACATAAGACTTTTCAGCATTCTAATGAATGAGTTTAGAATTTTCATTCCATCTTCATGTGATAGTCATGAAATTTCTCCCTTTTGGGTCCAAGGTGACTGCAGAGAAGGCCCTCCTTGGTGGCATAGCGGGTTGGAGCTCTCCACTGTGAAGCCAAGCCAAACCTTGGCTGCCTCAGTGTGAGCTCGATTTCAGACCCAGAGGTGATCCACATGTCACAGCAGACCTTTCCTGTCTCGCCTGCTGCTCCCCATCAGCAGTGTACTTTGTAGATCTGCCTGTTCTGCTCCCGCACTCTGTTTCTGGTGAATCCTCTTACTACCCCTACACTTCTGACCTGTACCCTATTTCTGTATGCATAAATAATTTTTTAAAAAAATCTTTAAAAAAAAAGTGTCGGTAGAGATTATGGCGGCCATCTTTTTATTCCTGTTGATGAAGCTGAATTTTCTCTTCCATTAATCTTTGCTCACATATTTTTGCCTTGTGAGATTTGGGGGATAATTAATGAACCCCTTTCAACTAAATGTGGAGAAACATTTTTTTAAGAGCTCAAACTGTTTTAAAAATTATATGTTCTTGTTCCAGGCTTAATAGATAACTCTGGGCTGCGACTGTTTCATACAATGGATATAAGGAAATATGATGCTGGAGTGATTGAGGCTGGCCTTTGGGTAAGCCTCTTCCATACCATTCCTCCAGGGATGCCTGAGTTTCGGTCTGAGGGTCACTGCACTTGGGAATGCCTGGAAGAGGTATGTTGGCTCTGAATCAGTGGGCTGGTATTACCAGATTAGGCAATGTTCTTAGAAATGTGAAAATTGGGCCCTCCCTGGTGGCACAGCCGGTTGGAGCACTGCACTGTAAAGCTAAGCCAAGCCATGGTGGCTTCAGTGCAAGTTGGATCCCAACCCGGAGGTGACCCACAGGGCGCGACAGACATCTTATGACCTGCCCGCTCCTCCCCTCAGCAGTGTACTTTGTCGATCTGCCGGTTCTGCTCCCCGCTCTGTTTCTGATGAATCCTCTCGCTGCCCCTGCATCTCTGGCTGTACCCCAGTTCTGTATACATAAATGAATAAATCTTTAAAAAAAAAGTGAAAACTTATCAATCTTTAATTAATAACGTTTTCTATACTTTCCACTCATTTTAAGTTTTCTTTTCTTGTTGTCCTTTTGCAACAGCATTAGTTATGATTTTACCAAGATCTTGCTTGCCTTTTCAAACCTCGCAGACTACAAGAGTAGAATTCTGAAAATGAGAATAACTTCCAGGGTGTTTTCCTTCCTGTTCCTCATTTGATTTTTCATGCTTTTTATTTTTCACAATTTTTTTATTTTTGTTGTTGCAGTCTCTCCTGTTTCTCTAATTTACCTCTTACCCACAGTGTTTAATTTTTCATTCTCAGCATTTTCTGCTTTATAATTTTCATCTCTAACCATAAAAAAAAAAAAAAAAAAAAACTGACGTGGTTTTTTTTTCCCCAAGAATGAAAGTTTTTCAACACACATGATACACTTTATGAACCATAAGATATTGTGACTGTGGACAGGGTAGCCGGGGGAGAAGGGAAACTTGTGCAGATATGAGTTATTCATACCATGAGTCAAATGGCCATGATCCTATTTCCCACCTGCAGAACCTTGGGCAGTTCATTTAATTCCACTTTCCCACTTGCGTTTTCTTCTCTGAAAAAGTGATTTCACCTTTCAAGAGTTGTACTTTGCCTATTATACTAAAACGTCTTTTTGCTAGGAGCTTTGATGCCTCTTTAATGTCTAAAGGAAGGAAAACAAGAGACAGCACTTGGGACTGGCTTGGGAAGTCTTCAGTATACATTAGTTTCCGTTTTTCTGACAAATGTTGCTTCCCAGAGAACATTGTTAAGAATAAGTCATGAAAATTAAAATTTTTTGGCAGCTCAAGATTCACTTTAAATTGCTTTCTCAGTTGTCCCTCCAAGTCTTTTTTAACATGAACTGTCTGAACATGTATTTGTTGGGGCTAATTGAGTCCTCCCCTCTGTTCCCCTAGGCTCTGAAAGCGGAAAAGCCAAGTGGAATCCACGTGTTTGCGGTTCTTCTCCACGCTCACTTGGCTGGCAGAGGCATCAGGCTCCGTCACTTTCGCAAAGGAGAGGAAATGAAATTACTTGCTTATGATGATGATTTTGACTTCAATTTCCAGGAGTTTCAGTATCTAAAGGAGGAACAAACTATCTTACCAGTAAGAATTTTTGGGCCCCCCTCTCCCCCCTGAGTATGAGAAAAGGCATGAAACATCTCTCTGCCGAAATTCAGCAGATTTTCTACTAGCTATGTGAATTGTTCCCTTCATCTATATTCTCTCCCACCGGGGACTGTACAACCCAGGTGGAATGTGTTTGATCTTTTTTCCAAACTCAAAACTCATTTTTTTTTTCTTATTGTTCCCAGAGAAAATCAAGTTACTAATTTGAAAATAAAATAAATATTTGAGCTCTGAGAACTAAATATTACTCTTTGCTTGATTCCCCAGTTAACAGCTGTCTGGGTTGTAATTCTGGTAGTGGGAAAACCATCAGTTTTATCATGGAAAACTTTCGGAAATTTCATTTGAATGTAATGATAATTCTTCCATTTGAAAGAAGTTTTTAGAAATAGATGGTGATACTGTGCTGTGTTATCCAACTTTCCACTTAGGGCTGCAATACTTGTGGAAGTGGTAGAAAGATGCAGAGGGAAATCTCTGCCTTACAATAACAAGAGCTTTAAAATTATGCTTCATGATATTTTGTCAAACATTTTATTCCATGAGTATCAAGATCAATATAGAGTTTCTAACCTTTATTCTATTCCTCAAAGTCATATTTCTATACTATTTATGAAATTAGTAATAGCAGTACCTCTGCTATAATCAAAAATCCTTGATAAACTTGGGAGTAGAAAGATGCAGGTTGATAATGATCTTGTCTAGATTTATAAAGAATATACTCTCTTGCATTGTCCTGTCTTGGGAGCTTTCCAACCATCTTCATTGTGTTACTTCAGAGCTCCCCAAATGTATGCTGCGAGCTGTGTGTTATGCTACTGACACCTATTCTGTCCCCTAATGCAGAGAGGCAGGCAGGGAAAATCTGGGGGTTAGTGCCCAGGTTTAGCTGTTCAGGCCCATGAGTAGCCTTTTCCATTTTACCTGAGTGGAAACTCATAAAATTTATAATTTTCTATGTGTGCTTGAGATTTCATAAAGTTAGAAAACACTGAAACAATAAGTTATTATTAATTTACCTCTTACTCCTTTTGTAAGTAAAAGACATGACTGAAGTCCTTTAAAAATATAATAGAAATAGAGAGATAGGCACAGTAACTAGTGTCTATGACTAATGTGTAGAATAAGTTTAATCTATGCTAAAGACTAAGTGGGTACTATGTCACTTAACCTATTTACAGTGTTGGTGAGAAATTAGTGCTATTTTTATCATTATGTTTTAGATGAACAAAGTATGCCCAGTGAATTCATTTCCTTATCTAAGGTCATCCAGCTGGACCATGGTGGAGGCTGGCCTGTCTATGAAGAGTCTGGCCTTTTGTCTGCTTGCTGAGTTATGTCCTAGAGATCCTAGAGTTATATGGAGCAAATGTCTTCACCTGAGTTGAATTAATTAATGCAGCCATTCATGTGGCAAAGTGAACCATTGGTTTAAAAATATATTAATAAATAAATTCCAATCTGAAAGCTTTTACTTTTATATTTTAGGGAGATAATCTAATTACTGAGTGTCGCTACAACACAAAAGATAGAACCCGGATGACTTGGGTAAGAAAATTTTTACTGTTATTAAAATTAATTTGTAGAGAAGGAGGAATATATTTTAGTTTTAGAAGATGGAAAGTAAAATACATTTTCAAATGGAAGAAAAATTTCTGAACATCTTTAGCTTACAAATGAAATCAGAGCTCTTTCCTTCATCGGTCTGAACAAGTGATATCATGGGAATATGTGTAGTTTACTGACTTTCATGAAAAAACTATCCTAGCCTTCCAATTTTTACCCACCAGGTATTATTTAATAAAAGACCTCTTGTTACTAATAACCATCTATTTTGTCTTTTTAAATCTGGATCTAGATGAATCAATACTTCAAAAGAAATAATGAATTACATAACCTTAAAGCTTCTGACCCAACGAGAATTCTAGTCCTAACAGATTTACTGGGAAACTTCTGCCAATCATTCCATAAACAGGTCATCCTCTCTCTTCCAAGAAACACAAAAAGTAGGAACATCTTCACCAACTGTTTTTAGGAAGTTTGCATAATCTTATAAAACCTGATAAGAACAGTATGAGAGAGGTCAAAAAATTGTACCTGGTAAAAAATATCTTTGATAAACCAAATCCTGCATTTTGTAAAAGTATAATGTTAGGACTAATTTGGATTTAACCAAGGAATGTAGATATGTTTACATAAGATGAAGATTAGTTATGAAAAAAATCTGTAGAAAACATCAGATTCAACACTAGAAAGAGTTGCTTAGAGCAAGAAGAAAAATCACTACTATTTTTAGCATTGTACAGGAAACAATGAATGGATAAGTTTAAAACAAAAAAAAATTTGTAAAACACAGACTAATAAAGTATTAGGGTCCAATTAATAAAATAAATTTTGCAAATCTGTAACACACACACACACACACACACACACACATATATATACCTTAGAGAAAACAGCGACAAACAAAAACATTTCACAGAAATTAAAGCCCACATTGGCAATAAACAAAATGAAATAAAGTTCAGTTTCATTTGAAAGCAGGGCCATGTATATATAAAGCAGGTGAGATATCTTATGATCATCAGTTTGGCAGTATTTAAAATTTGATTTCCAGTGTGCCAACCCAGAATGCTCATACACCATTAGTGGGAATGTGAATTTATAAAACCATCTTGAGAAAAAACATGACATTTTTTGGGGTAATTTAGGGATTTTATATCCTCTACCTAATTCCTTTCCTATATATTTTAACTTTGAGGCTACTTAAAAAAAATATTTATTTATTTATTTATTTATTTTTGCATACAGAACTGGGGTACAGGCCAGAGGTGAAGGGGCGGTAAGAGGATTCACCACAGAGTGGGGAGCATAACAGGCAGGCTGGTGAAGTTGGCTGTTGAGGGGAGCAGCAGGAGAGACAGGAGAGGTCTGCTGTATTTGCAGACTTCAGGGAGAGAAATATATAGAATATTCATAGTAACATGTAACAAGGCAGGAACAAGAAACTGGAAACAGCTTAATAATTTATCAAAAAGAGAGCAAATAAACAATTTAGAATATATGCTAGTAGCAAAGAAATCACAGTTATACAATTTATTGAATTAATTATATATATTAACATGAATGTATCTGTATGAATGAAAAGATCCATGTAGTAAGATATACTGTGTTTCAGTTCAAAAATATATACAAACAGCATATAGTTTAAAGGTGTTTATTAAAGCTAGCTGTGTCTTAATCAGGAATGAAAATCAATAGAATTAAAAATAAAACATTGAGCTAATTATCTTTGGCTGTGGAGAGGAAGAATTCAAGATGGATTATAAAGAGTAGTCAAAACACTGATGACGGCTTTGTTTTTCCAATGCTATATATATAATTTTGCTTTTACAAAGTATTTTACTGAAGTCATAATAAATTCTTATTTGTGTATATATTGTGTACTCTATATGGATACTCTATTCTGGATCAAGAGGATTTAACGCCAGTCACTGAAAATAATTACATGATAAGAACTCACAGCTGTCCCTCACTGGATATTGCCCTGAACATTAGGGAAAATTTCTGCTGTTCTATCTTCAAGTCCACTGATACTTTCAACTGTCACTTCAAATCTTATGTGGAGTTTATCCTGTGAACTTTTTGATCAGTTATATTATGACTTTAGATTTTCTTATTGATTCTTTTTCTTATATTCTCTTTTCTCTGATATCATTCCCTCCTGTTTTACTCATGTTAACATGTTTGTCTGTTTTTAACTCTTTCATTACTTTCACCTGTTTTTAACTCTTTGACTATATTTAAACTTGCTAAATTTTGCATCAGTTTCTAGCAAGCAGTTTTTCTCTGTGTCCAGATTATAATTTCCTGTTTATCTCATGCTTAAAAATTATTGGTTGAAATTTGGACTTTTCAGATAATATGTTGGAACAATCCTTGGTTCTAGTCTTCTGAGGAATTTTGAACTTTTAAAATTTTAGTGGATAATTTACTACTTAGATTCAAAGCATGAAATCTCTATATTTTTTCCTCCCCTATGGTATGCAGCTGCTGGATTTTAATATGTATGATGACAAAATTATAGAAAATTCAGTTCAGTTAGGCAAATTTCCACTCAAACTCACTGATATGTTAACAAAACACCCCCACAATGCTCTGAAATGTTCACTGTAGTAAGAAGTTTATATCATGTATTCAGAAATTAAAGGAGATCATTACGTTATAATGAAGGCAATTTTTAAAGAGATGGAAATAATTCTAATAATTTTTAAATGTATCACTACTATTTGGAGACAAAATTGCCATTTAGGTTGCTTTTCAACTTTAAAATTTATTAATATTCAATACTGGAAAGAATGTACTTCATTGTCATTTGTGTAAGAGTTATGGAACATGCTTTTCTAAATATAATATCATCTCCATTTTTCAGGGAGGACTTAGCACCAGAAATGAAATGTGTCTCTCATATCTTCTTTATTATCCAAGAATTAATCTCACCCGATGTGCAAGTATTCCAGATATTATGGAACAACTTCAATTCATTGGTGTTAAGGAGATTTATAGGCCAGTCACGTAAGTTGTAAAATGGATTTCTTAGTAGGGATAATATACTTTGGAGAAGGATAGGCTTTATTTTCACTATTGATTTATCACCAAGTTATGAAATTCATTTTTTGTGTTGTTCTAGTGGTTAGTTTCATCTGAGAATGATGAGCTTCTTTGTTACTATATTCCAGATCTATAAGACTACATTTCCATTCCCAGGCTCAAAGATTTGCCTGGAATATCTAAAGGATTCAGAGTACAGTGGCACTCATGACTAGTATTTATCATAGTGAAATCAATAGGGGAAAAGACATCTAATGGGCAAAGTTTTGGAAATCAGCTGCAAACTTCTAAGACACCTTTCTCAATGAAGTCACACAGAATATAGTTAATTCTACCTACGTCAAATTATGACAGCATATCAGCATATTGATAATATGAAGTGTTATCAACTGGGGGATATCAGTAGAGACAGTTTCCACAATTTTTACTGGGGCTGGTCACATAGGTGGCCTTTGCTGAGCATGTAGCAAAACTCCAGCAGATGTTCAGCGTGACTGCACTTATTTGTACAAAGTCTAAGCAGCATGAGTCATTCTTATCAATTAGAGAAATTTTTATATCAGTATAGGAAGTTGTTTGCTATTTAAGCTCCCTGATGCCAGCCTAAGGTGAATCTTCCAAACAAGGCAATGCAGATTATTTTCTTAACTCATTCTGCCCAGTTATATTCCATAGGAACTACTTAAAAGAATACACAAAATCAGTGTTATTCCTGCACTCCTGAAATTATTTTCTAGAGTGATTAGGTAGTAAATACTATAAGTGGAACATTTCATACGTTAGGAAGTGTAATGAAGATAATTGAGTGAAGCAAGTGTGAGGTGGTTGTCCATGGGGTGAGGCAGGCCTATCTGGGGGTGTCTTATTCCACCCTAGATGCCGTAACAAAAATGCCATAGACTGGGTGACTTACAAACATTTCTGAAATTCTGGAAACTGGGAAGTCCAAGATCATGATGACCCCACTTCTCTATCACAGCTTCCACTTCTCGTTGTAACTCCACAAAATCGGTGGCTTCTGTGTAGAGCAAGGACTCTCGGAGGGCAAGAAAGGAAGGTAATATGAGCCAGGAGACTTATCCAGTTGAGAGGTGAGGGCTCCCTGCCACCAGAATGGGAGTAGGAGAGTTGATGAGAACTAGATATTTTCAGAGGCAGTACTCACAGTACATGTTGTTTGGTGACATCTCAGAGATATGATGAGGGGGAAGGAAGAGTAAGGAAAACGATAATGTATGAGTGGTGTTAGGAAGAAGATATTGAACATTCTGTTTTAGAGATCTGTCAATGTTGATCTAGTGGAAAGAATTATCTATTCTTAGTAATACCAGAGAGAAGAATTAGGGTGATTGGTAGAAATTTGGAATGTAGATTTTGTTTTAATATAAGGAAAAATTTCTTATGACTAGACCTCTTGAAAATGCAAGAGACAGCTATAATTAAGCACAAGATGTATAAATTTTTGAGGAAGTCTTTTTAAGGAGAGGGTTAAAAAAAAGCACTCTGTGGTACAATGCAAACACTGCAGGAAAACACAAAGTCATCTACTATTGTTTCTAAATATTGTAAGGGTTATAAGTTATGAACTGAGAATATTCTTTAAGTTAAGCTTACTCCTCATAGATGCATTCTCTATGTTTATATCCAGACAAGTCAGTGACCCCAGAACAGAACTAAAATACAACTTATAAAGTACTTTCAAATATATGATTTAACTAATTTAGTTTTGCATAAAACCAATAGGTAGAGGAAGACTTGTGACCCCAGTTTTATAGAGAGGAAATGGAAACTGAAAGAGTGAGAAACTGTCCAGGGCCCTCCCTAGTGGTGCAGTGGGTTGGAGCACAGCACTGTGAAGCTGCCCTTGGCATGCTTCAATGTGAGTTTGATCCCTAGTCCTGGAGGTGATGCACATGGCGCAGCAAACCTCTCTTGTCTCGCCCACTGCCCCCCTCAGCAGTGTACTTTGTCAGTCTGCTATTCTGCTCCCCACTCTGTCTCTGGTGAATCCACTCACTACTTTTGCACCTCTGGCTGTACCCCAGTTCTGTATGCATAAATAAATAAAATCTTAAACAAACAAACTGTTCAACATCACATATTACATTAGAAGTGGAGCAGCTAGGATTTATATATTAATCTCAAATTATGTTTATACCTCCTACATACAATCTGCTTTTTTTATTCAAACTTAATTGACTATGTATTTGAACAATTAAAATAATAAACACAGCACATAAAACACTAGCATATAGTTTTGTTTATAAAATATCAATATTATATTTTCTTTCCTAAGACTTAGTTTGTCCTTTTTTTCCTTTTAGTGTACTTTTTACATGTTGACTAGAAATTTTTCCTAATCAGGGGTTAATGTTAGAGGGTGTGGAAAACAAACGGGCATTCAAAACTGTATGTCTATGAACATTTCATTCAATTTACAATGGACAAAAACATTACATTGAATGAAATAAGTTCAGTGACCCATAAGCTTTCAACTTATGTTAAACTTCAAAAATGCTTATTAGCTCCTGTGTCCTCAGGCCCCAGTAGTGTCCTGTCTTTCCAAGGAAATGTTGAAGTTGGGTTTTCCATCACATAGAAAGACAGGGAGAATTTGCTTTATAGAACAAGGCCAGTTTTGAGATGTCATTGCCCACATGAAACCATTTAACTACATGGCTAAATTTATTTATTCTTTGAAAACATGAGTGAAAAAGGGCCTCTGTTATAAAATACCTCACTAGACTTTAAATCAGACTTTCAAGTCTAGTTCATCATCACAGTGACATAAATGTTCTTGCAGGCCAAACCAGAAGGTACTGGCTAGAAGATCAGAAAGTAAGAAGTAGTTTGCATGATTTTTTTCTGTTTTGCTTAAAGAATATTGCTCACTTGGTTTCAGGTGCAATATAATTGAAAGGAAATTTTGCATTTTCAGTATCATTATTAGTTAGACGCCCATTTTATTTTAAGTATTCTGTGTACTATTTATAGCATTCTCTATATTAAAGAATGAGTGTGTAGAAAGATAGAGACAACTACATCCTGTCTCAGGATTTGTCTGCTCTGGGGATGCAGTATTTTTCTCTGCTTCCTACAGCTGTGACATTGCTTAAAAAAAAAAGCACAAAGCTCACAAATATCAGGTAACAGTTTAGATAAATTCCATATTCTCTGCTATACCACGCATCAACACTATTTATGGAGTCCAATGAGACTTATGTGTTGCAAAGTTCCCTTGTTACTTGTTTTATTTCTAAAGACATATCAACAGATATGTTTCTATTTTTTGTGAGAAAGATCACTTTATGTATATATAATTTTTATAAGTCATATGTGCTTTTTATAATGATTTTAGCTAATGCAGTAAAATGGGCTTTAAAAAGAAGACAAAAACAATCAGCACAAATTCTGTTAGATATAAGCAGTACTAACATTAATTGAATGCTATTACAGACCTCTTTCTGTTATAAAGATTCTAATTATTCTAATTTGTACATTGGTTTAAACAAGAACATTAATTTTGTTTCATCAGAAGTAAATATGGAGTAATTGTTAAACAGGAGATCAGTGTTGCTGTTTTTTTAACCACAATACTTTATAAATAAATAATTTATATAATTTATAAAATTATTTCTCAACAATTTATCAAATGCTGAGAAAAGAGGTCACAAAAGACAATAAGGTGTTGCTCTCACTTTTTGAAATGACTTTTCATTTTAGATCCTAAATACATGTGCATTCACATCTCATATTTGCTACTACCTCACTCTTCCATATTTCCAAATACTTAGAATTTATATTATTGTTTTTGTATTTTCAAGATTTCTGTTTTTAACATTTGACTGTAAAACCATGCTCATAAAATTCAATACAGACTTTACATTTAAATATATCCAATAATGTAAATGACAATTTTATATTATTTAAAATTTTTATTGAAGTAATAATTTTTTTTTTATATTTATTTATTCATACAGAACTGGGGTACAGGCCAGAGGCTCAGGGGCCGTGAGAGGCTTCACCAGAGACAGAGTGGGGAGCAGAACAGGCAGATCGACGAAGTACACTGCTGAGGGGAGCAGCGGGCGGGTCAGGAGAGGTCTGGCTCGCCATGTGGTCTCCTCCGGGGCAGGCGGCAGGCGGGAATCGAACTCATACGGAAGTGGCTTCAGATTCTCAGTGCTGTGCTTTAACCCGCTGCGCCACCAGGGAGGGCCTGAAGTAATAATTTTTATATCATTATATAGACTTCAAGTGCACAGCATTATAGTTTGGCATGGATGACGTTTACAACCAAAAGTCTAGCTTTCATCCTCTGTTGCGCAACTGACTCCTTTGCTTAGTTTACAAACCTAACCCCCTCCCCCACCACCCCAGCCCCTTCCCTTCCGGTAACCACAAGTTTGTTCTTATAATCTAAGAGTATGTTTTTGTTTTGTTTTGATTCTTTATCTTCCACATATGGACACAGTATTTGTCTTTCTCCATTTGACTTATTTCACCCTCAAGATCATTACATCTCTGAACTCCTTCATTAGATTCTTTGGAGTTTTATCCTCAAGTTGTGTATTCAAGAAGGGCTTCCAGGTGTTGCATGATTCCTTTGTTTGGGAATTTCTGCATTGATATGTGGACATCATTTGGCAAGATATAAGATTTTGGGTCATACTCTTTTCCCCCTTGGGAAATCTCTTTCAATGAGTAGAATATTCTTCCATAAATTGAACATATTTTGGTGTTCAGCATTTGAATCAAATTTTCCTGAAATACAGTATTTTTTCAGTACACATATTCATTTCTTCTTCTTCTTTTTTAATTTGGGGGAATTTTCTTACATTTATAAGCTTTAATATTTTGAGATTTTTCTCAAACACATTCTATTTTTGTTTTTCATAAGTACTCTTGCTTTTTCTAATTTGTTGTATGTCTAATGTGATGTGTCTGAAATTTATTTTCTTTGGTTTGCTATGTTCTTTTCATCTGATTCTGTTGATGTCTGGTACTTAAACTCTAGTTTAACTGAATTCATGTTTTTATTCTATAAACTCACATTTCCAGGACTTCTCCTCTTTCTGTTTTGACCTCCTCTTTCTCCAGGGGTAACTTGGAAGGTGGTGTAGGAGAGTCTGAGAGCTTAGAGATGACAAATGGGAAAATTGCTGATGTGGGGTTATTATGGAGCAGGGCCCTGAATAAAGTTAGTGAGCAGGCAAAGAAGACCATAAAGATAAGGCAAAAGATACTGTCTTGGAGAGGTTGGTCACCATATCCCAGGTCACCCAGCCTCACTTAGACTGTATCAGCCCATGAACATTGGCTTGTCCTTCTTTGCATGCTTTCCCCACCTATTTATAGTAAGTAAATGTCTTTATACCACTTCCACTTTATGTTGTGAATATCAGTAAATACTAATTTACTGACTATTTTAGCAATAAAACTTTCTATGATTTATCTATGAGCATTCCCTGGCAATGCACACGCCTCTTTCTCTTTCTCCTTTTGGCAATAATCCTATAATCCTGCCCTTTTAAAATGTAAAAAAAAAAATTTGATCTATGCACAATAATATCGCACTATTCATTCACCCCTTCCAGCAAACCTGCAGAAAATTCAGAGGATTTTTGTCCATCTCAAACCTCAGTAGAGATTCTACTGCCACCTTGTGGCGTCTTAGGTGATTGTATACTGATGCTTTCCGCTTTGAATGTCCCTAATTAGAAAATTGATTTTCTTTTTTTTTAAAGACAGATATCTTTTTGAAAAGTAAATTTTATTTTCAGTATTTGATTTAGAAATTATTTTATATTTAATAAAACCTTGAATAGCTTTTAGTTTATTTAAAAGGACATTGTATGTAAACAAAATAGGTTCCTTTCAAGTTTTTGTTTTGCAGTAATTCTAAATTTTGTCTCTACAAGTCTTCACAGCATGTTTAATTTAAAAAAAATCGACATAACGTTGGCTTATAATTATGTAGATTTAGGTGTGCAACATTGTAATTCTCTGTCTCTGTATTCTACACAAAGGATCACCTCCAAAGCCTGGTTTGTAGCCATCATTTAGTTGACCCCTCACCTGATTTGCCCATCTCCCATCCCCCCACTCATCCGTGGCCGCCATTTTGTTCTCATAATCTCAGTGTTTGTTTCTGTTTTGTTCCTTTATTCGTTTTTTCCTTTCTAAGTTTTAAGTGTACAGTTTAATGCCTTGATAGTTGTGTGTGCTACATGAAACTCACCACTCAAAGTCTGGCTTCCATCCAACACCACAAAGTTAACTTGCTTTACTGATTTTATTTACCTTTTCTCTACCGTTCTCACTGGTCACTACCATTTTGTTATCAGAGTCTAAGGGTTTGCTTTGTTTATTCATTACATTTGCCTCGTTTCTTTATCGTCCACATAGAAATATAATCATACTGTATTTTGCCTTTCACAGTGAGCCTTATATCACTTAACAAATTCCTCAAGTTTTACCCATGTTGTAAATGGCAAAACTTCATCTTTTTAAAAAATATAGTATTACCCTATAAATCATATCACATCTTTATCTTAAATGTGTTGAGGTTTATTTTTGTGTCACAACATACAATATTTGTTGCCATTTTGTTTATTGTTCTCTGGCCAGTTTCATGTTTCCTTTGGATTTTTTGTTTGTTTCTTTTCCCTTTCTTTTTCTCTCTTCCTTTGAGGTTCATTTTTTTTTTAAATCTATTTAGGTTTCTTTTCGCTTTCTTTCATGTATTTACTGTAAGTTCTATGTCATTTAGTGCAATTAAGTTTAATGTAGTAGGATCCCGATTGAGGTTTGTGCAACACAATGCATTTAAATTTTAACAAAGATATAGTGACTTTAGTTAAAGGAAAAAGGAAGTTTAGAAAGAAGTAAGTAATTTTAATGTAGACATTAAACACTGCTCGTTATGTGCACAATATAACGAACACTTTATTGAAAAGAAATACTCAATTTAACTATATGAGAGTTAAGTAGTGACACAAATACATGAAATTGTGAGGATCAGATACTAGAAATGTATAGTTGGCAGCTGGAGGGTAATTTGTGGGTAACTGCAAAAACACAGGAAGATCTCGTTGGTTTGTTACAGGAGTCAAAAACCTGCTAGTTTCCCATGATCATTTCCAGGAAGATCCTTGAACTAGTATGGATTTTTGTGATGTGCTCTTACATTTTTCTTTTGGACATTTAAGATGATTTTTTAGAGTAACAAGTAAAAGTAACGGATATTATCTGCACAGTGGGGTTTTTTTTTTCTCAGTAAAAATTTAAACCATTACTTCAGTTTTAAAACTTTTGTATCTGTTGTCTTATCAGCAAACTGAAACAGGGCA